CGCTACGATTACTTAAAGTCAAAGTTTTCAGCTTGGTTGAAGCTAAAAAACAAAACCGGGAATGTTTATAATCCTGTAACCAACACCTTTAATCTTTCAGAAGAAGAATGGCAACTAGAAATGAAGGTATTTTGCATTTTTATAATAAAAAATTATTATTAGGCTTTAATAATCTAATATAATAATTTTCAAGCAGTCGAACAAACATGTTGAAAGTTTGAGAAGAGCGTCACTACCCTTCCCCGACCTTTGTACACAATTGTTTGAAGGCGCGACTGCGACATGCATTCATAGTTGGGGACCAACTTCTACCCTTCCCCGTCCTACTCAAGAGTCAAGCCACTATAGTTTGCATGACTTTGATGACATCGATTGCACTCAACAAGAAACTGTAGGTCTCAGTGACGAGTCATCCGCTCAATCAAAAAAACAAAAGACTACAGATACGACAAAGAGTCAAAATAAAAGTAAAGATAAGGGTAAAGATGCATCGAATTCGAGATTGCTTGAAATCGGGGAAGATATTGCCACAGTTGCTAAAATATTTGTGGAAAAACATACTTCTTCAAATTTGGATGCGTGTATGGAAAAGTTGGAGAAGTTAGGATGGGGAATATTTGATCCAAGATACACTACTGCTGTTGCTCTTTTTGGTGAAGGTGCGGATAAGAGGCACGTGTGGTTAACCATTGATCCAACTATTTGTGAGAATTGGGTCAAGACTGTTGGAGCACATTATGGAATGTTTCTCTAAGTAGATGTTTTGAATGTTTTGATGTTTTTTTTATAACTAGATGTTTGGTTTGGATTACTTGGGTTTTTTGGATTACTTGATGTGTGGTTTGAACTAGATGGTTTTTTGGATTACTTGATGTTTGGTTTGGTTTGGATTACTTGAGTTTTATATGACATGAATGAGGTGATGTTTTGTTCAGAATTTTTAAGTTATATGTTGTTAATATAATTGTTATGTATTTTCAAAATAACAGATTGCTTATGGATTCGGATGAAGAAATTGCATTTTTCCTTTTACTATGTTGCTATTGGTTGAATCTAGCATCCAATAGAATTGGAAGGGCAATTGATAATGATTCGGAAATGAGCGGTCATCAACATACACAAGAATTGCTACATGGAACTTCTACACAATGTCATGAGCTGATGCGTCTTTCACGTGAAGCGTATGTACTTTTATGCAATCATTTTAGACGAAACAATTGGTTGCAAAGTAGTAGGCATATAAGCGTTGAAGAAAAGATGGCTATGTTCTTGACAACTATAGCACATAATAAACAGTTCAGGATTATCAAACGAAGGTTTCAACACTCCACAGAAACAGTTCATAGATGCTTTCATGAGGTGCTAAATGCAATGATGATTTTTGCAAAAGAAGTTATAGTGCCAACGAATTCTAATGCAACAGTGAATTCCTCAGAGAGACATCGTAGGCTAAAAGAAATCTTTCCTGGAGCAATAGGTGCGTTAGATGGAACTCTTGTACATGCAGTCGTGCCTGCTGATCAACAAACTCGCTACAGGGGAAGAGGAAAAGGTGAATGCTTTCAAAATGTTTTAGGAATTTGTGATTTTGATATGATATTCACATTCGTATGGGCCGGTTGGGAGGGTATAACACATGATTCACGAGTTTTGAAAGAAGTTGCATGTAACCCGACTTCAGGCTTTCCGTTCCCTCCTCCAGGTTTGTAATTCTTTTTAAATTTATTCTAAAATACAATTTTAAATTTCTATATATAATACTTCCTTCACTCATGTGTATAGATAAATATTACCTTTGCGATGCTGCATACACCAACACTCGTGGATTTATGACTCCTTACCGCAACATGAGGTATTGGTTAGCCGATTATCGACGGCGACGTGCGTTAACTAAGGAAGAAAAATTCAATCATGCACATGCGCAACTCAGAAATGTTATTGAACGTGCTTACGGTGTTTTGAAGGCGAGATTCCCAATCCTAAAGCGAATGGCTCCTTTTCCTTTTTCAGTGCAAAGAGATATAGTCGTTGCTTGTTTTGCAGTCCACAATTTCATAAGGAAATGCGATATTCATGATGAGTTATTTATGGCGTTCGAGGAGAACAATGCTCAAGCACAAGGGGGAGAGAATGATGGCGAAAACGTACATGATATGGAATGGGGTTCACAAGGGAATGAATACATGAATAATTTGCGTGACCAGATTGCGAATCAATTGGGGTGAAATTAAATTTGTAGGATTTTATTTGGATTTTAGTATGATTTTATGGATTTAAAAATATTTATGTTTGATTTGGATTTGTGTTTAATTTTGATTTATGCTAAATTTGGATTTTATATGGTGTTTATATTTTTTTTAATACATATTTAATAAATTTATTAGGTTATTTTCTAAATAAACAGTTGAATTCAATAAAAAATAAAACAGAAGGGTAAAATGGTCATTTTAATAATTCAGCACAACAATTCAGAGGTCCCAACCAAACAGCATGTTAAACATTCAGCTCTTAAATTTTCAGACCCTCTTAGAAATTCAGACCTCTTAATAATTCAGATCTTAAAAATTCAGATCCTGCCAAACAGCCCCTTACAATGTCAGTTTTAAAAAGGTGAGAAAATGCTTAATTTGAACATATTAAGTAGATATATTAAGTATTTAAGTATCAGCTTAATCCTTCGGACCTGGCTCCGTCACAATCTATGTATTTAGTTGTTTAAAAGTTGGATAACGAATCTAAATTGTACAAGAACTAGTGTTTACGTATTTTTTTTTAATGTATTTTATGATAAAAAAACATATATGTTTCGGATAACTTCTACAAATTCAAAAGTCTTAGGCCGGAGCTCGGCAATGTATAATCATTATAATGTATATGTCGAGCATGTGTGACATGACAAACACCGCCCATGACACTGCATAGGGGTGTTGATCGGGTAATTTTTTCGGGTTTCGGGTAATTCGGGTCGGTAATTTGAGTTTTTAATGTTAAAAAAAATACTCGTTACCCCACCAAATTAAATTCGGGTAATTTGGGCAATGGGTCGGGTTGGGTAATTCAGGTATTACCCGAAATATATAAATTTTTTTTGAATGACACCTGAAAATAAATTTAATGAAATAAATATGTCGTGCTCTATTAGTCTTGTTTATATAAACAAACGAGGCATAAACGAAGTTACTCAAACTTTGAACATTGAAAATTTTTAGTCAATAATACTTGAGATATCAAGTAATCTTTTAACAACTTAATCTAATATAATAAGATGTTAAAAAACAAATACTTAAAGATCTTAGTTTAAAAGTTTAAAATGTTTAAGATAATTGTAGCCATAAGTTTTGTCATGTTCTTAAGTTTTGTCAAAATAATGAGTTTGTTAGTTACAAGAAAAACTAGTACAAGCTCTACGAAAAAAAAAAAACAAAAAAAATGAATTTTTAAAATAATTCAGGTAATTCGGGTATACCCGAAACCCAACAAACGTACCCTATACCCAACCTAAAAAAAAATTGGGTTACCCGATTGTCCGAAAAATTAACCCGATACCCGATTTACCCGATACCCGAAAAAATCGAACGGGTAATTCGAGTATTAGGTATTTTCCACAGGGCCAGCAGTGCATGTGGCATGACAAAATATAAAGAAGCTTGGTACCCTTTTCCAAGTCTCTATCCTCCTCTTATCTCACAACACTCTCTTCGTCTTTTGCCCCCTTCTCTCATCATTTTATTTTCCAATTCCTCTTGCTTGGAAAAAGAAAATGGTAGGTTGAGATGGAGCTCCGTAGGAGCAGCACTACTCCCCCATCCTTGATATATGTTTTTTTTTTCCAACAATGATATTGTATTTTTAATATAAGGTGCACAAAACATAATATTTCATAATATTTAGTTATTTATGCTATCAGAAATTATAATCTATTTAAAAATGATTGTATATGACTTGAAAAATATAATATTGGTTTTATATTTTAGCCAAGTTAAAATGTTCAATTATCAAACACAAGTTCTAATGTTCCATTTTTTATATTTTTGTTGGTAGTTTTTTTGGAAGAAAAAGAACAATTTTATCAATTGTGTAATTCTATAAAATAAAACTTGGAATCATGTTCTTCGTGTAAAAAGATTAAAAAACAAAAATTTAGGTATCAACAAACAAGACATTTATTGTCTAACTCTTTATGCTAGGTGACCAAACAACATTTTGGGCACATCCTTAAATCCCTATAACAACTCCTCACCTCCCATGTCCACAACAAACATCGATCCTAACATGTTAAGACTATTATTATGATTTATGAACAAGGCGGACCTAGGTAGCCTCTTTTTTTTTTTTTTTTTTTCTTCTTTTTTTCTTTTTGCATTTAATATTAGTTTTATGAATATGTGAAAGATACAATGAACTTTAAAACACACAAGACGTATTTATTGTTGTGAGTTTGTCTACCACTTGCATCTTTTTATTAGGTTCGTCCAATTGTTTTGTAATAAATTGTGAAACAAGGCAGATTTGACATTACAATTGAATTTGAACTCATTCTATAACCAATTTACATTGAGCAAAAAAAAAAAAAGTCATAAAATGTATTTTTCCAATATTAAATGAGGCTTAGTCACAAGTTACGGAAGAGAAACAAACTTATAACAAAATCATTCAAACATTTAATAAATAAATACATCTTCTAATATAGAATTTGAATAGATACATTCATTTTACATACAAATTTAGCTATTATTAACTGACCATAAAATATAATCATATAATACACATGAACATCATTCAACTTGCAAAAACAGTAACTTTTTATTTATTTGCTAACTCAAAACTCTTTCACAAGAAATCTTGGGGAGTTTTCTGCCTTCTTCATGAAACCAATGTAGTCTATAAGCACAAAAATGTAAAATTTTGACTTATGGATATAAGTGTGTGTGTGTGTGTGTTGTAAAGAATGAATGAATATGTACACTCTTGAAATGACCTTTAGAACCACCATTACTCCATTATCTTTGTTTTAGCGAGCCTAGTAGCGTTGATTCACGGTTATGGTGGTTACTTCCATCTTCCCAGAAGTATGACTTGTACTCTGTCGTACTACTGCTCATAACCATCTCTTCTTCTTCTTCGTCTTCAGGAGGCATGTTGAGATCAAGAAACCTTCGAGTTTCACAAAAGAGGTCATTGGGTTTCTTGATCACATTCGTGTTTTCTTTATTCATTTTAGCTTCGGAAATCAAGTGTGATCTTTTGTGGCCACCTAAAGCTTGGCCTGAAGAAAACATCTTTAAGCAAATTGGACACTCATGTGCTCCCAACACCACTTTTTTCTTCTTCAAACAACCAACACCAACACCAAGATCGAAAGTTGATAATTCTTGATGACCTTTTAGATGTTTTTGGATCAAACCCTTTGATTGTTTGATCGTGATCTAACACGGGTTTGTTTTCGTTTTGGATTTTCGAATCAAAATCTCCCTTTAGCTTCCTGTGACTTGCTTTATGCCCACCGAGTGCTTGATAAGAATGAAAACTCTTGTTGCAAGTAACACACTCGAACTTTCTCTTACTTGAATCCTCAAATTCACCTAAACCTGAATCCAATTTGTCATGTTTTATCAAACGTACCTCAGATCTTCCAAGAAATTCAAAACCAACTTGAGTTTCTGCTAATTTCGTCATCTTGGAACCATTACCAATCAAATCTTTACTCAAATTTACCAAAACAGAGGAATTATAGTGATCGATCGATTCAAATTCATTACCCCATTTCCCCAAATCTCTAGAAAGCATCATCAAAGATATAGCAACATCTGTTTCTGGTTCTTGTTGGATTTCGGACACCATACTTGTTGAAGCATTATTACTACTAATTTGATTACTATTAGCATTCAAAGAAATTGAAGATGACACTGTTGTGATTATTGCAGTTGCATTAGAAGCGACTATATACCTTTTGTTTCGTCTGTTTCTCGATCTCTTTATTTGACGATTTTTGGCATCTGAATTCTCATAATCTGAATTGCTAATCCAAGAATCTCGATTCAGACTTGCAATATTCTTGTTCTTGTTGTTTAAGAGTTTGATCGAGTGACATTTCATATGCCCAAACAAAGCCTTCCACGATTGAAACCCTTTTCCACATTCTTTACAGAGTTTATCGAGAACAGTCGAACAAGTTTTGTTCCCGACCTGATGATGATGATGGTGATTGGTGGAGCTGATTACATGAGACCTCATGTGACCCCCCAAAGATCTTCCACAAGGGAAGCTCTTGTTGCAGTATTTACACAAGTGTTTCATCGATTCCTGATCAATCTCTTCCATTAAATTCTGATCGAATATACGAAATTCAGATCAAATTCAAGAACAGAGCCAAAACGAAAACTGTGAATTATATTGAGGAAGTAACAAGACCGAAAGCTCAGATCGGGAGTGCGTATGCAGAAATCAGAATCCTTCAAGATTGAAGTGAAAAACGAAGAACGAAGAACGCATCTGGCATTTCATGGTATTAATTCTTGATGAAGAAGATGATTGAAGGTAGCTAGTATGGAGTAGAAGGTATTTGGTTGGTTTGTTGAGAATGGAAGTTAAATAAAAGGGGGATGATGGGTCGGTTACCTTTGTTGCTAATGATGGCGAAGAAGAAGCAAAGAGAAATTAAAGGAAAGAAGTGGTTTACACTCACAGTCACACTCTGTTTCTCTCTCTTTCTCTCTCTCTCTCTAAAGATTCATGGGTTTCTTTCTCTCTAAAAGTATATGAGAGAGAGAGAGAGAGAGAGAGAGAGAGAGAGAGAGAGAGAGAGAGAGAGCTAAATTTGGAGGACGATTGGAGAAATCCATGCATGGAAGCAAGGATAGAAAAGAAGGTAAAGCAACCGGATGAGATTGCGCCACGTTGGTCATCAGTATGGAGTATGGTTGTGGAAGCAAGATCCTCTCCCCCCTGATTCTACCCCACATCTCCAGCTAAACTATTCTCCCTTGGAAGCACAAACCCCACTAGTAGTACTATCCATTAAAAACAAAATGAATATTTATTTATTGCACAATTTTTTTTTTGAACGGCTATTCTACAATTTAATAAGTGATAAAACTATGACGGAGACGATTTTTTATTTTAATTTTATTATAAGAAATATAATTTTTAATTTTATTATGGTTTTTCGATTTAATCGTCTAAATAATTTTTTTTCCGAATTTAGCCGTTAAAACTATGTAAGCTTTATTTAGCAAGATAAAATAGTCAAATTTTTAATGACAAAAAAAATAGGCTTCAAGAATATGTAGGCTCTAAACGTGGAAATTGTTCAAATTATATTAGCTAAACAGTAAATTAATAAAATCTTATGTAGTTTGTAAAAAAAAAAACATACCTAATTTTTTTTCCACAGGCCTCTCTTGAAATATGATTGTCTGGACCAACAAAATTGAAAATAACGACATTTTTTATTTCTCAAACCTCAACAACGATTTTTCGCGAGGGTGTGCGAAATTTATAGCTTTAAAAAAAGCTCATATTTTTTTATTAATTTTGGAAAAAAAACTTAGTGTTTTAGCTTATTTTTTTTTTTTTTTGTAAAAATTAACGATTTATGATATTAACATATTTCATAAATTAGGTTTAAGCAATTATAAGGGAAGAATCCATAAGCCAACATAGTTGGAATTTAAAAGGTTAAGGATATATTTTATAATAAAGCCGGTTAATTTTAGTTTTTATTTATTGTAGAAGTATTTGGTAGAGTAATTATAAGTTTTAAAAATATATAAAATTATTTAAAATGAGTTATTTAATAACAACCTAATAGTTTTTTTTTTTTTTGAAAGAGAATAACCTAATAAATATTAACTTTTAGACTTTTCTTTAAAAACTATTCAAAGTTGTATTTGATTAAAAACTTGCTGTTCTAAAATAAAAGTTTTAAATTTATATTTTTTTAAACAAAACTTCTTTTTTCTATAATTCGAGTTAAAAAAAATTAAAATCTTTGAATTTCAGCAAACTTTTAAAAAATGGTTTACAAACATGAGGTAAAACTTTTAGAAGTGGTTGGCATAGTAGGATTTTTTTTTTGTCATTTTGGTGCAATTTTCCAAAAGGATTCAACTGATTTCACTATGCTACCAACTACTTTTTATTGTCCTCTATTTCCAAAGTTTATAAAAGGGTCGAGATAAATTTTGTTGGATAAGGTTTGCAAAAAAGTATAATCTTTTTAATATATTCTTAAATTATGTATCTTAATCTCATATAAATTTCGTTGGTTAACGATTGTAATCTTTTTATGAATCAATGATGCGTGTTATGTGTATATAATGTTAGTATATAAATGTATTTTAAAATTAATAAATATGGCTAAAATAAACGTCGAAAATAAAAGATTATTTAGACCAAATAATCTAAAGGCAAAAGTTGTAGTAGTCATGATGGTGATTCTGTACATTTCGTACATATAAAGAACGCCTAAATATAACTTCGTATGAAGGAGTTATGATCGTTTGAACTTTCGTGTTCAACCCTATCCGGAGATAGGATGCTTATTAGCGTAAGTAATCTAAACGAAAGTCGTAGTAATCGTAAAAACGAACTCGCGCATATACAAACCGTCCAAATCTGACTTTGTATGAGGAAGTTGTGACTTTTCAAAGTTTCAGTGTAATTGTGACAACACAGAAATTGATATTCAAATCGGTTGATTGTTAGCCGAAACAATCTAAACGAGAGTTCAAGATAACATGAATAGGATTCTATCGATATAAAGACAGTCGAGAACAGAATTCGTATGAAAGAGTTATGATTTTTATACGGGTTTTAGCAGTCTAAACCATTTAAAAATATGAAATTAAAAATAAAGTGCGAATTAGCCGATGAAGTCTAAATGAAAGTTATAGTACTCGTCGATAGCTACGTGTGGATATAAAGAACGTCGAAAACGAATCTCATATGAGAAATATACGATTTTTTGAAGTTTTTCGAGAAGCGCAGCGCGTAGGGGCAATGTGGCCCACCCGAATTACGACACGTGGCAGAAGACAGGAGGAATGACGTTGCCTTAATGGCGCGACGCGCCTTCACCAAATTTGGCTATAAATTGTTGGCCACAATTCCTCATATCCTCACACCTTCAACAATCTCTTTCTGCATTTTCTCTGGAAATTTAGCTCGATTTTCCCTAGATTTTAGAAAGTTTTAGTGGAGCCCTGAATTGTCGAAGATATAGAAGTTTTCAGGTCGAAGTTATGTATGTGAACTTTTCGGTTTTCGCTAGAAATCTCTGTAAGTTAAGCTGCATTTGGTTTACTTTAAGTGTGACTTATGTTTAAGTTCATTATCGTTATTATGAACTTATAAACAAGATTTATCAGTAATTTCATGTCATAATACTGAGTGATCTACGTACGAGGGTGATGTCTAAGCTAGATTTAATGAGGTGTTTAAAGTGAAATTTCCAAACAGTATACTCTGTATACCAAATGGATCCTACCTCCAATATGATCTTACCTAGTTGCTCTTTATCAGCTATAGATCAGTATTCATCGGGATTATTGATGAATCTAAATTATCGTCATTATAGCCACAATAATTACGAAATAAAGACTAAGACTTAGTGATATTTATACCTAGGTCTTTCAAAAGGAAAAGCTAAGGTGTTAAGCGAAGTGTTGTCCAAATCACCAATCATCCACTTTTAGCAAGTGAGTGTATAGTCACTTTCATCTTACACATAAATATGAAGTATTCAGATAATTAAATTCTATGTGTGCCTATTATTCGTGTTATGGATATTTGTGCTAGTTGCAATAATATAATATGATTTTAATGCTATATTTATTTTATCATATTTAAACTATATCGGGTAGTGAAAGGTTATGGGAAAATAAAATAATGGTGAGAGTGTGGCATCTCCAAGTTTACGGTCATTTTAAAAACTTTATTTATGCTTATTTAAAACGTTTGTTAATGCGGAATTGGTCCCAAAATATGCTTGATATGATATGATATTAAATCAAGGCATTTCAGAAGAAATGTTTTTCATTTATATTTTCAAAACTCGAGATGTCATAATTGATACAAGAAACATAAGCATAAACGAAAACTTACTACGTTTCATTACACTAACGATCTACATCTCCATGAATCTCTTGGCAGATACATACATCATTATCCATATATAATTACTTGTGATGCAAATAAACTGAGTGAGTCAGGTTTGAAAACCTGGTGAGATACATAAGGTTTTCAACCCACAATATTATAATATTTAATTATATATTTTTTGGCATTCAAATAACTAAATTAATCCACTCACGTTATTCTCACTTACTAATCCTAATATGATGATCTCAAGGGATCTCTCTTAAAGGACCTTTACCAGCACTCAACTATAATTCTTAGATGATCAGGCACGACAGTATGATAATACTTTGGGTAAACACGACAACACAACAATACATTGGTACTTTGGATAGGCAATACAACAATACTTTGGTTTAGCACGACAGTACAATAGTACTTGGGATAGACAAGGAAGACACGACTTATTATTTGCACAGTTCTCACTAATCTATCACAACTACTATCTCACACGACTCTAGCATGGCCTCTCGTTTATTATCTCACACGACCCATTACTACCCAATCTTATTATTAAGTATGATAAAGTATAGGTAGTTTAACCAAGTAATAACTATATCATGTTACACGTACGTATTAAACACATAAAGATAGCACACATAGCATCTAAGCAATTAGAATACTTATATATATATATATATATATATATATATATATATATATATATATATATATGTGTGTAAGTGTCACAACTAGGAATTCTATGCTTTTGTAACAATAATGATGATAACATTTGTAACCAAAAACTTGAAAACATGCATGTGTTCATTCAATGACACCAAAATTCCATCAAACACTCTATACAAACACTTCAAATAGTCAACAAAAGATTGGAAACCCTAAAAATCCCGGTTTAAGTCCAATATAGACTAGGATTTTCTTATTGGGCCTAATGGACCAATAAGTCTCCAATTTGACTAGTTTAGGCTTAGAACTCTTAATTGGGCTCCAATTTTACCCACCTTCATGAGATTTAACATTTGGGCCATATTGGGCCTAAAATGGAATAAACTACTCCAATAAGCCTTATTGGGCCATAACTAACCTAATTAGCTTTAATGGGCCATAAAACCCATTCTCTCATGCTAATTGGGCCGTGAACCATCCAAAGAAGCCCAATGGGCCGAAAAGTAATTATGGGCGTAAGAAATTCGATCAAAGCTAAGAAGTTAAGCCCAACATCA